TCACAGACTTTCCTGCCCAGGCTGGCTTTGAACCACAATCCTCAGATCTCAGCCTCCTGAGTAGCTAGGATTACAGGCATGAGCCACCAGCGCCCAGATAACAACAGAATCTTTGTGAGCACGGATTTGGGTATCTGGGGACAGAATCCCAAAGGGCCCCATTCCAATGTTGCTGTCGGTTATATCATGTACACGACAATGAAGGCTGATATAACTGTGATTAAGAAGCTGCTTTGTCTCAGAAGTCATGCACAACATGCTGGTGTGCCAGTCAAGGATAGACCTTAAACCTGCCTATGGGCCCATTAAACTAAGGGAGCTGAAAGACTAGCAGTTGGTTGTAGCCTCCACAGTACAAAGTAAAAATAGCACATGCAAGTTCATACAATACCTAACTGATGTGTTAATACTACACTTTATTACAGAAGAGTTGCCTAGCCAAGTCCTTGAAAAGAGATTCCAGAAGAAGATGCTGGTTAGGCAAAAATAGTTCTGCCCCTAAAGACTTCCAGTGAAACAGAATGTGCAAGTGGGAGACAGTGACATGGATCAGCATAACCCAGTATAGGCCAAGACAGTGCATGATTTTGTGTATTTTCAAGAAGAAAGTTTAATGAAAAAGAATTTTTCAGACCAGTCTCACCAACCAGGCTGGCTTCAAATTTTTCCCTCTGCAAGATGTAGATCATTTGTGCAATTCTGATATGGTGATGTTACAATGAGTCAACAAAAAAGACTAATGCCTTTTAATTTTAATGAAAAAGTAAACAATCCACTTATTGAATTACAATGTCAAGAAAAAGGACCTAGTCTTACAGCGATTTTACATTAAAAATTGAGCTTCTGAAGCCCTGATGTTTCCGAGGTATTCACACTCCCTCATACAAATCTACTGCTATCAGCAATTGTGCTATGACAGAAGATAGAAATGTAATGCTTTGTCTTTAGTCTGTATACTCACCAACATTTCACCCACAGTGCCCAGAGGTCACCAGGATTTATGCATGGCAAACCAGTATAGATGTTTAGATAGAGAAAACTTTTCCAAGTTACTGTTCCTTTTCTATTGCCTCATCTTCTACGAAGGCGCTGTACCCACCCGCATGATTCTGAACAGTGTGTTGATGTTGTTGCTTCGGATGGCATCCCGACAAGCAGTGATCACTTGGTTCTTTGGTTTTCCAACTGTATGAGAAGCATCAAGTTTCAGTATTCCCCAAGATTATTAAAAATTAAATTATTAGGGACTAGGAAAGTGGCTTCATGCTTGCCTAGCATACATGAGGCCCTTGGTTCAATTCCACCATACCACATCAACAAAAAATAAAAGAAATAAAAGAAAAAAAATTTTAAGTTTTTAAAAATGTAAACGAGTGGTCTCTTTTGAAACAATATAAAAGTAGGGTAAAAAAAGAGTTGCATATACAAATTTTGCTATTCTCACTGTTTGAGAACTTTGTGAGGCAATTTATCACAAAACAAACACAGAACATCTCAAACTAGAAACCAAAACAGGTTTAAACTTTTAAATTGTGCACTTAACTCATCAATGTTCAGAAAGCTCCATTAAAATGGCGCTTTTAAGGCTATATACTTTCTTTGGGGTATATGCACTGTTTTCTTTAAAGGATGCAGTAAGATCTTAGGGGGAAAAAAAGGCCTAAAGGCTTTCCTTCTCTATAAAAGTGTCTAGAGACCAAGTGCCTGTGGTTCATGCCTGTAATTCTAGCCTTTAGGGAGACTAAGGATGGGAAGAGGGTCATGGTTCCAAACCAGCCTGGGCTTTTCTGAAAAGTCCATGAGACTTTGTCTCTGCAGAGGGAAGCTGGACTTGGCACATACATGTGATCACAGCAACCATAGCAGCTCAGGGCAAGAAGCAAGATCCTATCCTAAAAATAACCAGTGAAAACTAGGGTTGAAGGCATGATTCACCTGTATCACACCAGTCCCCTAGTACATCCCTCCTCCCAAATAAGAAAGAAAGAAAGGTCTGGAGCCTAATTAAAGCCAAACATCAGGCTGGCTTACTGGAAATTCAAGCAATGGGACCAACTTTGGAGTACTGAAAGTATACTATGAAGAGACTTACCACGTAGACGCCCTGCTCTTTGTATTGCTTGATTTACTGCTTTAAGGTTTCCTAACAGTTCTGTGTGATTATTGCAGCGAATTTTATATCCATTTAGCAAGTCTTTGTTAAGATCATAGAGTTCCATATAGCGACTTTTCATTGTTTTCCTGTAGAAACGAACAGGTATGTAACACTGGCACTTGTAAACTTCTTACATTCTTTAAAAACCCATTTTAGGCTGGGAATATGTCTTAATGGTAGAGTGCCTGTCTAGCATGCATGAAGCCCTGGGTTCCATTGCTCAGTACCACATAAATAGAAAAGGCCGGACGTGGCACTGTAGCTCAAGTGGTAGAGTATTATAATGTTGAGCAAAACAAGCTTCAGAGACAGTGCCCAGGCCCTGAGTTCAAGCCCCCTGACTGGGGGGAGGAGAGTTAACTATATTTTCATTAAAAAGAAGTAACTACTAAAGTCTGCTTTGATATACATTGACAGTTTCCATCAATATATCCTATGTCTTCCAAATAAATAAGAGGCTTTTCTTGGTGATTGTAAGAATTAAGTTCCCTGGATTGATGGGTGGAGTAAAAAAGTGTACCTTTAAAACCAAGCTAATCACTACACAGCAATAAAAATTATTAAAATTTTGCAATGGAAAATGCTAAATGCTGACAACTGGCTCTCTGGTGGATTACAGTTACTTTGGAAAGTTATTTAGCATTTTCTTCCAAAGTTAAAGCTAACACTTGCTACTTAACTAAGAAGTCTTCAAAGAGGTGAAAAACAAGAAAAGCCAGTATGCAAATATATCACTACGTTATTCACAATCACCAAAGTTGGGAAACCATCCAAACGTCCATTAATGGATGAATGGATAAACAGATTACTACATATTCTTACAATGGAATGAAAAAAGTTTCTCTGTGCTCTTGTGTGTCAGGGGAGATTCCTGTACTCTCACTGCTCTAGAATACATCTGTTACACTGCTGGTGCAAGTCTGCCTTGTGTCCACTTGGGGATTTGCTATGGTTTTGTCCCCCAAAGGTTAGTCTGTTGGAAATTTGTCCTCAGTGTGGTGATATAGTAGATGGTAGTAGCTTGAAAAGGTGGGGCCTACTACAAGGTCACTGGGTCACTCATTGGAGTTGATATTAAGGTAGTTCTGGATGGACCCTGGCTAGTTCTCTCTTGAGGGTTGTTATAAAAAAGCAAGACAGGTCAAACCCCAGTAACTGTCACAAACATAATAAAAGTACTGGTCTTTGCCCTTCTTTCTATCATGTTGTGTTATTCTTTCTCACGCTCATGCCATGAAGCATCATGAACAGAAACAGGGAGGCAGGCCCTTGGGAGAACTAGTGCCATGCTGTTTGGACTTTAAGCAAAACTTCTTTATAGATCACCTAGCATTAGGTACTTCTTTGCAACAGCGGAAAACAAATACAGAGTTCTTCTGAACATGACTTTGAATATTCTTTTTTTTTTTTTCGGCCATGGGTCTTGAACTCAGGACCTGGGTGTTGTCCCTGAGCCCTTCAGCTCAAGGCTAGTGTTCTGCCACTTGAGCCACAGCGCCACTTCCGACTTTGAATATTCTTGTACAAGTATCCTGGCTTATATGTGCACAAAAGAGTGAACTGCAGAGTCATGGAATACATATTTTCAACTTTGCCAGTAATGCCAGGTTATTTTTCCAAAGTTACTGAATTAACTTAAGAGTCCCACAAGTAACATCTGAGAGTCACTATTCCATATTGTTCACATGTTGAACTTTGCACCCATCCTAACCATGGTAAATACTCACATGTCCCCCATTAGACGTGCATCCTCAGCTCGGACCAGCAAACTTCGGATCAGATTAGAATTGTCAGCCATGTCAGCACTGAGTTTTTGATGCACTGAATGATACTCATCCACCTGGAAGCAAACACTTGGGAATTAAAAGGGTCTCACAAGCTTGTTCAAAACTAGACAGTCTGAGAAGGCTCAGGCTCTGCTCTTTCCCCTCTTCACTCATTCACTGCCTATTATTTCATCACCTCGTCAAGAAAATAGTCTTTTTTTTTTTTTTTTTGTAGGTTATGGGGTTTGAACTCTGGGCTTGGGCGCTGTCCCTGTGCTCTTCAGCTCAAGGTGAGCGCTCTGCCGCTTGAGCCACAGTGCCACCTCCAGTTTTCTGGTAGTTTATTGGAGATAAAAGTCTCACAGACTTTCCTGCCCGGGCTAGCTTTGAACCATGATCCTCAGATCTCAGCCTCCTGAGTAGCTAGGATTATAGGCATGAGCCACTGAGGCCCGGCTCGAAAATAGTCCATTCTTAATCTCCGCAGTGATGGCACTTGTGGCAGGTTCCTCCCAGGGCAACATCAAGAACACTAGCAACACACATTAACAATGTAGGGATTTTTGGAATGATCTCATTGTGCTTTTTTGTTTGGAATGAGGGGCCGGAGAGCGGGGAAGAGGGAGACTGGAAAGCAACTAGAATAAATAAGATGAAAGCAGATAATAAAAGAGAAGACAAGCTGGGCGCTGGTGGCTCACGCCTGTAATCCTAGCTACTCAGGAGGCTGAGATCTGAGGATCACGGTTCAAAGCCAGCAGGAAAGTCTGTGAGACTCTTATCTCCAATTAATCACCAAAAAACCAGGAGTGGTACTGTGGTTCAAGTGGTAGAGTGGAAGCAGAAGAAGCAGGAAAAGAAGAAGCAGAACCAGGCCCAGAGTTCAAGCCCCACAACTAAAAAAAAAAAAAAAGAGAAGAAGAAGAAGACAAAGAGTAACAGGAAAATGTTGATATATAATTTTTTTTTGGGGGGGGTCCAGTCAAGGGGCCTGAACTCTGGGCCTGAGCACTGTCCCTCAGCTCTTCAGCTCAAGGCTAGTGCTCTACCACTTGAGCCACAGCGCCACTTCCAGCTTTTT